TCAGAAACACTTGTTGTTATATTCCATGGAATGCTCTTAACATCCCGATAGCAATGAATATCTTAAATGGTTTGACAATAGATACATAAAAAAATGTCATCTGTGGAAGCCGTAGCGCTGTAAAAAGCACGACCAATCATTTTAGCCGGCCCTTTTAGCCTACCTGCCTGTCGGATTTCCATCTGTGCACACATTTATCTCGTGCCCTCATTGGTCATGTGCGCGTCTGTGTGTGTTGGAGGAGGGGCTCTGTAAGGAAGTGGCAGATATTTTTCGGTTGTGTATTTTCAAATTCTAGTGAACTCAAGTTGGTTTCTCCAAAATGACATACCCCACCTTTTAATGTACACTGTCCTTTGTTTTAAATAAATCAATTCAAATGAGTGTTTTAGATGCTTGTTTAATCACATCTCATCTCCATCTGTGTGTGTAAAGAACATGTGTGTTACTGCCTCCAAAAAAAAGTGTGTCTAAGTGACAATGAGGTCAAAACGAAGTGCTCTGTATTTCTGTTTCTCTGCTTGTGGTTTGGGTTTAATTTCGCACTGTTTCTAATCCTTTGAGACATTTTGATATCCCTTAGTTTCTGTGTGTTTGTGATTTATGTGTAGAAGATAATTGTGTTCCAGTAGGTCATAAAGAAAGACTGAGGAAAAGTGAGATGCTTCAACCCACTGTGTCCTCCTCTGTTGTGGCTTCAGCTTAAGTATGGCCTCTGCTAGCTATTTATGGTTCACGAAGATACGATGCATTCACACAAACATTTGTTTTCCTGCTTTGTTCTGAAGTCTTGGTTTATCTCTGTCTCTGTGGACCCTTCAATCATAAATTCTCCTAAAACAATCCATTCCAGACACTTTATTTATACTTTGACTTAATGGCTTGTGCCAACTTTACATGACAGAACTATAGCAATGTTTTTATCTGGCTCTCCGTGTACACACTTCTACTTTAAAATACATTCTCATGTCTGATTTCCGCATGTTGTGATGACCATGTTCACTTTCAAAGCACTCAACAACCTTGCCCCCCCCTACCTCTGTGACCTCATCCAACGACACACCCCCACCCGTCGCCTCAGGTCTGCTGAAGCTAACCTACTGCAGCCCATCAGGACAAAGCTCCGGACCTGGGGTGACAGGGCCTTCCCTGCTGCCCCCCCTCACTCTGGATCTCCCTCCCCAGCCACGTCAGATCCGCCAACACTCTCACATCATTCAAACAATCCCTCAAAACTCACCTTTTCACTCTTGCCTTCAACTCCTAATCCACTAACCCCTCGCCCTGATTCCACCTAGCTTAGCACTTTCTACTTTTGTTGTTATTTTTGTTTTACTTGCTTGTAAGCGCTTTGTAAATGTAATTTATTATTATTATTATTATGTCTCTATATGAAGTGTTGTCACATTCATATCATCAGCAGCAGGTTGTGTTTGTGTGTACAGGAGAAGATGGTGTAGTGCCAACAAAAGCCAGCAGAAGGCAACCTGCGGTCATTTATCAGAGAGAGACAACAGCAGGTAAACCAACGTTTGATTTTTCACCTGAAAGGCTCAGAGTAAAATGCTTTTGATCGCTTAAACTAGAGGGGAATAACTAACTCCAGTGTGATTTTGGTGAGATTATGAGCATCCTGGCCAGAGTTAGACAGGGGGTGCAACAGCTGGCAGCCATAACACTGCCATCTTAGAAAGCCCCCTTTAAAATGAGGTATTTAATGTTTATTTTTCTCTTTCTTTTGTAACAGACACAGCTCACACAGTTGATACATCCTGATGTTCAGAGGAGGAAGCAACAAGATGTCCAGCTGAACTTCATACAGGTACATAAAGACTTCAACACACACCACCATCTCCCTGATCCATACAGGGCAGGAAATGAAGAATACAAGTGTAAGTAGAAATACCATGGTCTTCTCGATTACGTAAAAGCACAATAGTATTACAATCAAAGTGTAAGTATTACAATTCAAAGTATTCATTTTTCACAGTAGGCCTACTATGTTATTATAGTTATTATATCATCATCATATATCATACCATATACACATGCGTTTTTATATGTAAAAAGTAACTGGCAACTTTGTCTGTTAAATAAATGCAGAGAAAAATGTACAATATTTGCCTCTGAAATTCAAAAATATAAGTACAAAAGTAAAGTACAATTATGTCCAAATAAAACGTGTGCTGAGCTCATTCAATCACTGGATTTAATTATATGTGATGTATGAGTTTTGTATAATAATATTGGCGTATTTCTCATAGTTTTGATAATATACACTTTTATTTATGTTAGCGTAATGACTACCCGTTACTCAACTCTGTTATGAGTAAAAGTCCTGCATTCAAATGTGTGTTTAAAGTAAAACTTCAGAAGTATTTACACTGTCATTATGTATTTAAAAGAAAGTATTGCCACTTAATAGTAAAGATTCAGGGGGGTATAACAGCTGGAATTGAACCAGCAGTCTTGATGTATTGACTCTAAACTAAAAGGCCCTCCTGTGACTCGGTCCATTCATCGGCCGCTGCTCTTCTGTGAAGCTCCTCTGAATCAAAAAGCCATGAATACGTGGTGTGAAGCGACTGTGCTCCACTTCAGGTGGTGTTTGCTGAGCTTCAGATGGAGCTGGAGAAGGAAGGAGAGCACTTGAGTTCTCCGTCACTCAGGACTCAGAGTGG